ATTAGGGGGTAGTGGTTGGATGTGTGCTCTTTGATAATTTATGATAGAATATGTACATGCATTATTGACATGTTGAATGACATGCGTGTGGCATGTTGTGTGATATTCTTTCTGTGATCTCTTGACAACAGATGTGATTGTTTGGACTTCCGCTGGAATAGGCTCCTTTGGGGAGTTTCGGTCGAGTTTTGTCGTGAGGCCATTTCTGAGAGTGATACTAGGGAGATCCAAACGTGGGACTTCTGCTGGATAGGTCTCCGTTGGGAGTTCCAGCCGGGTTTTGCCATGTAGTCGTCTCAACCATGGGAAAAACGCTAGGAAGATTCCCGGGAGTTATATGATGGGGTATTTGAACGAATCATTGTGTGGATGTTTTTAGATGTGAGCCCAGTGACTGATATGATTTGTATGTTATATTGTTCATATATTTATCATAGCATGCAATTGAGTGAGCCAGTGGTGGAATGACCCTCTATGACTCTTGGTTTACTGATAGATATATGTATATCTCACGTCATGTTTCGAGGCACCATTTCAAGTACTATTGATCATGTTGGAGTATCGGGAAAGAGGCCTGCTTAGAGGCGGAGATGGATATATGGAGTGCATATGGACTATATAGCATTTTGGATAGATTTCATTTGATGTATATTATAGCATTATTTTGTATCATGAACTTAGGTTATGAACATGGTATGCGTGTGGTTGTACTTGCCATGCATTGGTTGTTCATAGTTAGTTCTAAGTCATTTGATCATTGTTTGTATTTGGGTATATGTATATATATATCTCATATGTTATTTTGAGTTATTGGTGAGCATGGGAGATGTCCATTGCCACTTCTGATTATATTTGAGGTATTAGTATTGTGGCTTATGTAAGAATTATCAATTGAGGTATCATTGATTATGTATTTATATGGATAATGTAAATGATACATCTATGGGAGAATATATGCATGATGGAAGGGTCTTAGGCTTATTTTAGATGTTGGAGTGTATAATTTTGTTGGATGATAATTGAATAGGTACATGATTGAAAAATTGCCAAATGTTGAAAATATAAACAGAGTGTTGCCCAATATTCATATCTCATGTGATAGAATTGGATCTCTTCGTACTCTTGGAAGTTATAGAACTTTCTTTTAGCTTTCCAATGAATCCAAGTTTGTGTCAATTGGATAAGTATAACTTAAGTTATGAGTGAAATATCAAAGTAGGTTGAAATTTCTTATTTCGGTGTCTAGCTCTAGACTTGCGTCGCTTTTGGCACCGTGGTGGCGCCAAAAGCGCCACCAAATAGGGGGAAATGGTATCCTTGGCACTATTGGCGACGTTACACTGCTTCGTGGCGCTCTTGGCACCGAGCTGGCGCTATTAGCGTTGGGCCCTTGTGGGTTCAACACTCTTTTCTTAAAAAATTCATAACTTGAACTACGGTGCTCCAAATTGAGCACGATTTGAACCCACACGAAGCTAACGAAGAAATCTATAACATAGTAAGAGATGAGAACCATAGAGTAAGTATAGAATTCCTAGAGTAATAAAAAGGTGAAGGCATTTGGTGTTGAACATGAATAAAATGAATATTTAGCTTTGTTGGTTTATGGGAACCACTTAGCAACTTTAAACTCATTGTATGATGTTAAGCTATAACAATTATGTTCAGTAATAAGAATTTAGTTATGATCATAGTTCGTAAAATGATTTAATACAGTTGTTTCTAAAGTGAGAACGTTATAAAAAGAAAAAGTTTTCCAGCATTTTTAAATGAACTTTGTGATTGTAACTGCGCTTAATATCATAATTGATGATAACATTTTCGATACGTAACGGGGTGTTACAGCTAACATCACAACTGTTAAATCAAATCTCAAAAGGAAAGAAAATTGTTGAACCCTAAAGGCTACAAAGTTGAAAGTACTCTAGTTTTGATAATAACAAAGCACATACAAACTCAACATGTAAGCACAACTTGAAAGATAGTGCAACAAGTCCAAAATGGTGATAGAAGACCAAAACAATATGCAAAAAGCAAGGGATAGTTCACAATAGCAAAGTCAACCCTCAAGTCAAATTTTTAAAGTAAAATAAGGCTCAAAAGGTTCAAAGCATGAAGATGATTGAATTCAAGTGAAGACAAAGGCTCGCATAGTTAGAAATATTGTTTTGAGTCTTAGAAACTTAGAGAATGATTATTTTGAGCTTTATGTTAACATATTGCATTCATAAGTCATAAACTTGCATTTTAGGAACCTACATGTTTGAATCATACGTACAAGATTACACACACATATGGAAAGTTGTTGAATTGATGTTAAAAACATTCATGCATGTGTTAGAGGTCATTGGAAATCATTTAGAGTCGATTTCGATCGAAAACAATGAAAATATGATTCATTTGTTCTATTGTTAATCGATTATCACATAACCATGTAGCAGATTACATGAAGTAATCAATTACATGAACTCAAGAAAATATAATCAATTACAAACTCGATACTTAATCGATTACATTATACCAGATTGCTTAAACTCGAACTTAATGATCCAAATGGATGTCCAACGACTATAAACAACTAATACTTTCATTGGACACCTATATAAACATAAAATTAGGGATTCTAAATAAGTTAGAAGAAAAAAAACGGAAAACCCATAAAATTCAAGATTTACATCCATTTATGCTCATTTTGCATATTTTGAGAGAAAAACTCAATATTTTTCTATTCTTCATCTATTTCTTTGGTTTCTTTTGTAATTGTGAATATAAAGAGGCGACTATACATCTGTTTTTAGTTAGTTTGCTATTGTAATTCGAATTTGGTGAATTGGAGTGATCTTATAGCTGTATAGGTTGAAATTGATCAAGGTTGATTAAAGTTCTCGTAATATTCCAATTGTACATCGGTTTCTCAGGCACCGGTTGGAAGTTCTGAGTATAGTGGATTGTCGACCTCAATCTGGATGTATCCCTCTAGTGGTTTGAGGGTGAACCAAAATAAATCTTGGTGTTTGATCTTCTTAACCCTTATCTTTTTAATTTCCGATGTTAATTCTTTGTTTGTGGTGTTAATTACTTTGTTTTGAATATATTTTTGGGTTGGTAAGAGTTTGTTTTCTGATGTACCACGTTTTCTTCAAGTTTATTGTTAAAAAGTCTTGAAAAACAATGTTTCTTAGGGGGAAAGTAACCACAATTCACCCCCTTATGGTGTTAAGCCATTTTTGTTTTACAAAGAGATGTCAACCAAAAAGCAAAGGAGGAGCTACCTTCCAATTCTATAAATAGCGAGCCACTTGAAAGAAGAGGGGAATCAGTTCAAATTGGAAATAACAGTCCATAATAATTGTCTTGTCTTCATCTTTTTCCTCTCTAGTTCTTCGTTGCAGCAAAGTGGATTGAACACAATCTTCAATCAGTTGTTCCATATTAGATCCAAATTTTCTTTTCCAGTATCGTGTAACACCATCTCAACCTTCATTTCTCCTCTTATTATGGGAACCAAAAATATTTTACATCTATTATATTTTGTCTACAACTTTTGATAAATAGAAGAATTGGTAATTATTCTTTTATGACATTTGATAATTTTATTCAAGTTTGATGTTCCTTAAATGGTAGTTGCTTATTAATCTTTGAGAAGTACATATTTGTAAAACTTTTCCTAGGGATGATAATTCAGAACTCATTATAATCCTATATTACTTGTGTTGTGTATACTTGTACTATAGCACTTGTTGTACCTTTCTTACTCCTCATCTATTGTAGCAAGAATAAGCTAATGGTGGTTGGGTGTGCATGTTTGTGTGCCTTGCATGCAAGCTTGTATGTATGTAGGGGTGACAATTCAGTTATTGAGTCATGTTTTCAAATTCAATATGAACAAAATACCCTTAACACAAATACGGGATGAGTAACTATTAGTGTGAAAACCCTCGACACGAACATGACATGCTTACTACACGAGTTAACACGAATAAAAACTACCTAAAAACCTTAAATTAACGAATAAAATTGCATATGTAATTATTTAATTTAAACAGGTCAATACGAACATATTTTTTTCAGGACACTTTTTGGCCTACACAAACACGACAAGAATATGAATATGAGTTGATACGAACATGACAAATTCGTGTTGTATTGACGGATCATGTTAAAAATTATCACTCCTCTCTCTCTATATATATATATGTATATATTTGTGTATATATTTATGTATGTATCCAGGTGAGGTGAGTGTATGTGGCACGATAACTCTACCTGAACCAACCTATATTCGATCAATTTGAGTGGAGTTATAAAAAGGAACCCAGATCGATGGGTGAAGACTAAGATTTTTTAAAATCCAAATTAATCGGTAACCACACTTATAGGGAAAAAAGCTTAAATAATCTCTACTTAAAATAATATTTTCTTATTATAAGCTATATGTACATATTACTAAAATATTATTAAGAGACCTCCTAATTGCAATAACTTAAAAAAAAAAATTATTTAACAACAATTTTATGAAAATACCTTAAACAATAAAAATAAATAAAAGGATTCAAATTTAGGCTATCACGCAAAAAAGTTTGAATTTAATTGACCGCGCATGATTGTTTTAAATCTTTCAATGTACATTATGTTCTATTTATTTAGTAAACAAAATTTCATGCAATTGTTTATGACAACAACCTTGAAATTAAAATTGAAATCACACCTCTTTAAAATGCTATTAATTTTTATGATTATCTTCAGATTCGTCATTATTAGAAGACAAAAATTTCCTAATTTAATTAAATTGCAAAAACATGTTTTTGGATTTGTAATTAACTCCCTTATTAATTACTCATCAAGGAATATTCCCTTCTTATAAAGCAATGCAATTGTCGACAGTGTCCACCACAGGCAAACATCTCCAATTTTCGCTGCTTTGTGGTATTTGGCTATTTGCATTCAACTTGCCTCTTTTAGCATACAAGTTTCCATAGGAAGCAAATCAGTTCAATTCCATGGTTTTACTTGGACAGGTAATTAAGGTTATTACAAGTTCTTTTGTTTACGGTTACCTTAAATCTTGTTTTCCTTTTGTCCGTCGTGTTTTACTAAAACAGTTAGAGCAGTGCATGCAGCAAGGTCGAAGTTACTATAACTCACAAGCTCAAAGATTATCTCGGGCATCATTATTAGAGACATACCGTAAGACATGCCATAAGAGTTTATCAAAGCAAAGAACAAAGAAAGAAATCAGAGCGCAAGCTGCTAGAAAACATAGTGAAGCCGAAAAGAGACGTAGATTGAGAATCAACGTTCAATATGCGGTACTCCGCGATAAACTCCCCAACATACTCAGAGTAAGTATCATGACACTCAAAAGTATCAAGCAATTTATCATGCGTTCTGGTTCATTTTCCTCCTGTTGCATAAAACATCCCGATTTGTGGGGGTAGAGGTGAAGGTTAATTGTAAATAATCACATCCTTGTATTTTTGTAAAGGAAAAAAAAAAAACTATGATTTAAAAGGACATAAGTTGTATCTTTTTAGATAACAAAGTATGACCGGTCATACTTTGTGTAAATCTGAAAAGTTATTTTTTTCCTCTCTCCTCAATCACATCGCTGACGTGTAAAAGACACAATTTGTGTCCTTTTGAATGACGCACACTAAACCCTTTTGTAAAAAGGTTATTTTTTAAATTCCATTACCTTTCGCTTATACGGAACAATCTTGTTGTCATTCCAAGACTGGCCTTTAACCATGTCAAAGTGAAAATTCTCAATTTTTTTTGTGTGTATTTATAATTTTTTTAGGGTAGGAATAAGGGCCAATTGCATATAGCCTTATATTTATATAAAGAAACTGTTTTCTGAACTTAAACAAGTTACCTTCCGATCACCCGGAACAATCTTACGACTCCTAGACTCACCCTCCAATCATGTTCAGAGTGAAAATCCCCATTTTTTTGTTTTGTTATCTATTTATAATATTTTGGAACTAAATTTTTTGTCCTCATTTTGAATTTTGGTGACAATTTTGCTAAATTTAGATTTTGTTTGTGAACTAACAGAAGGACAAGGCATCACTACTAGGGGAGTCTATAAAGCAAGTGGAGGAGCTGTTGAACAATGTAGCAACAATTGAAGAAAATAGTGATGACCTAGAGGAGGAGAATGTGTTTCCTAATGTGAATGATGATTTGGCTGTGGAAAAATGCAATGATGAACAGGGTTTAGTAAAGGCCACGTTGAGTTGTGAGGATAGGCCAGGATTGATGCTAGCTATTTCAAGGGCGGTAGCGGAGGTAAAAGCCAAAGTGGTAAAGGCTGAGATGGTGATGATGGGTGAAAGATTCAAAAGTGTGTTGTGGATTCAGTATCCTGCAAATGAAAATGTTACCATGCTCAAGAGGGTTTTGAAGGTTGTCATGCAAAAGCCATCTTTTAAGATGAGGTCGCTTAATATTTCATAATTGTTTGTATTGTTTATTTCCGTTGTTCTTTTGATTTTGACTTGTAATTAAATGCTGAATCACTTAGGAGCTTGTAACAGCTATAAACAAGTTTTTTTCTAAGAAATAATGACTTTTGGGATTTTCTAAGGTTCTATCAATAGCTTCCCATTATTTTCTCTCATTTACCGTCTCTTTTTGCATGTAAAAAAAATCAGATTTTACCTTATATATGGATAATACTATGTTCAACTTCAATATTTAGCGTAGTCCACGAGATTAGCTGGTGGCAGTGCAATTTATCTAATAAAATCTTAAAACTTTCAGACATGTGGGGGAAAATAATTCAAATATATATATATTTATAATTCTTTTAATTAAAACCATAATTAATGTTAGCATAAATTTATATTAATTATTTTATGTATTATATACAGAAAAAATTTCATTTTCACCCCTTGTATTTTATGGTGTATCACAAGATTTATTGTGGTTTCAGATTTATCACTCAATATACAGTCATACCCATTATGGTTGAATAAATTTATCATTTAACTTCAAGTGATTTCAACATTCACTTATACTCATTAATGTGGTTACAAAAATTAAAAATATATCACTTTAACCCCCTTTTTTGGTCTTATAAATATAAAATTCTTTATTTTCTTTATTTTTATTTTATATAATTATGATATTATCGAATAAACATTTTTTTGTGTGGTATCAAATAAACTTTTAAAAAATATTAATTATTAAATATTAAAACATACTTAAATTTATTTATTTTGAAATCATTTTTAAAACAATCTTGATTTTTTTATATACTTTAGATTAAAAATATTATTTGAAATAAATTAAAGACATGTTATTTAAATAAATTATATATTTTAAATTTATGTTTTCAAATATTATAAGAATATAAAATAAGATAATATTTGGCTTAACTTATTTTTACAATAAAAATAAATGATTTAATAAAAATTAATTTAATTTGTTTGGACTAAATACATTAAAATATTAGATGATAGGATAGGAGTTTGATTAAGTGTCTTCAAATCCGTTCCAACCTGGAATCCGACGAACCGGTCATTGGACCGATTCGAGTCAAGTATCAGACTGACTATGTATTAGACCTGGTCAAACCTAGTTAAAATCGGTCAAAACAAGTGACTCGGTCGGGTCATGAAAACAGGTGGGTCATGCATTTAAAAAAAGAAAGAAACCAAAAACCAAAGTTGTTTTATCTTGTCTGGATAAAATGTAGAACTCATTTTAAAATTATTTGTAATTTTATTTGCTAATAATATACTCTTCTATAGTGACATCAAATTTCTGCTTCCAAGACTAAAGCAATCTGCAAAATAATAAATTAAAAAAATGTGACATATGTCACTTCAATGACATAAGAATTTGAAAAATATGAGTTTACAACATCTGGCCTTTTGTATGTCATTGAGAGATATGCTTATGAAGATTTTGAGTTGCAATCTAAATTGACATAGTAATAACATGTAATTTGTTGATTAATTATGAACTTGTAAAAATGTGATTGAGTAATTTTTTAGCTTATTTAGTGAACATTGTTTAACTCATTTTAAATATGAAGAATATAATTAAATTTATATGTTCAAATATATATATATATATATATATATATATATATATATATATATATATATATATATATATATATAGAGGGGAGGGATCTTTTGACTCTAGAGTAAGACTTACAACTCTTACTCCTCATCCCAATCATTGATTTCTGTCCATCTAACGGTTATCTATAACAATTATTTATTTATTTATTTCAAATAAATAATAACTGTTAGATGGACGGAAATCAACGATTGAGATGATGAGTAAGAGTTGTAAGTCTTACTCTAGAGTCAAAAGATCTCTCTCATATATATATATATATATATATATATATATATATATATATATATATATATATATATATATATATATATATTCTGGTCAATGACCCTCCAATCCGACCACTAACTCAATAACCCAGTATCCTGACCAGATCGAGTTTAATAACACTGGTTTGATTCTCTCAATTTATATTTTTTATTTTTAAGATAATGTTTAAATATATTTGTAACTTTATCATAATTTTTTTTAAAAAAATTAGATTTATAATTTTTTTATTATAATTTTTGTTGATACTGTTATTGTAATACAGAATAAAAAAGAAGAAAAATAAAATTTTTTACATGTACAAGATTATACGGATTTAAGTCATATTATTTTACCAAAAATAATAAAAGTCATATTTTTTTAGTTAAAAGTGAATATTAAACTTAAATTTAAAGTAATTATTCTGATAGATAAGAATATATATATATATATATATATATATATATATATATATTTTAAAAAAATTATTTAACTTAAATGTTTTTTTAAGATAATACTTTTTTGTCAAAAGAATCATATGATTTTGCTTTGAATCACCTACTTTTCTATTTTATTTTTTATAATCGCTTACCCTCTTATGATTTATTTTTTTTCAATCCAAACTCATCTTTAGCACCAGAGAAATTTAACTAATCAATCTATTCTCTTATTCTAAGACCAAATATGTTAGAAAAGTACAAAATTGATTTTTTTTTCTTCTATTCCTTTTTTATCTATTTCTTTTAACAACAATAGAAAAGATTAAAAGTGAAAAAAATAAAAATAGAAGGAAAAAAAACCAAATACGTGTAAATTAAAAAAAGAAAAGAAAAAATAAGATCAAATATATCGAAACTTACCATACTAATTTTTTTGTCTTATTTTCCAAGTGAAAAGGGGTGGGAACAGTGACCAAAATGTCACTTTTCATCAAGTTTTTTACCTAAATGCCACGCGAACAGGGTTATTTCTCAATATGTCACGTGGGCAAGTTCGCTGGGCACTGTAGCGAACTCTGTTGTTGACGTGTCACGTTGGTAGCGAACGTGGTTGAAATACATATTCCAACCAACTTCGCTATCCAATGTAGCGAATTTGGTACTTTTTTTTTTACTTGATACTTGTTATCCACTAGAAACATGACACGTCAGCAAACAGAGTTCGCTACAGTGCCCAACGAACTTTCTCACGTGGCATATTGAGAGATAACATTGTTCGCGTGACATTTAGGTAAAAAACTTGATGAAAAGTGACATTTTGGTCGGTATTCCAAAGGAGGGAGAATGGTGGGCTGGTGGCTTTAGTGAGGAGAAATGAGGGCGAAATGGGAAAGTAAAAAACAGAAAAACGGTATTAGATATTTAGAAATATAGTGTGTATGCACAAAGACCTTTTTGCCATTGAATTTTTCTCTCTTCTACAATCCAATAATTTAAATAATTAAATTAAAGTTTTTAGTTAAATGGACTTAGGTGGAGTGTTTCACGCATAATTAATTCTAGATTCTTGATAATTTTTGCATATACATAATTTTGTTCCAAAAATTTTAATATTTATACTTTTGCCCTAAATTACGATTTAACTCAAAATTAGATTTTTTTTTTTTTTTACCTAATTTAGCTTCTCAATTGACTCATTAATTCCATTTTTTCCAAAGTATAATTCAGGTTACTATACAAAGCAAGCTTATGAGTAGGGGTGTTAACGGGCCAAGCCGAGCTTTGGTCTTAAAAGGTTAAGCTTGTGTTTATATGTGTCAGCCTGACCAAGCCTGTGACCTGTTATGAATATAATTTCAGCCTGTGGCCTGTCTTATTTACAAAAAATAAAAGTCTGGTTTAGCCTCTTAACCTGTTTAAAACAAAAGAAGACAACACAAATTTATCCAAACAAAATATACAGTCAACAGCATTAGTAATTCCATAAATATTCATAAATTTAATGTATATCAAAACAGTATAATATAAAACAAAATCATTCAAAAAGTCTATATAATTAATAAAACGGAATGAAATTGATTGAGGAGAGAGAGAGAGCTATCACAAGTAGTATAAAAAATATAAAATAAAAAAATTAATATATTAGGCTAGCCTGAGAGGCTCTAAGGCCGAGCTTTTAAATTGGAGCCTGATGCTTTTTTATTAAACGAGCTTTTATACAAGTCCAAGCCTTGTTCCAACAATCAATTTTAGACATAAAAGCTCAGGCCTTCACGAGCCGAACCAAAAGCCCTGTAAGGGGCTCTTGTCCTGTTTAGCACCCTACTTATTATGAGTTTTTGGAGATGCAATAACGTATGACACGACGTATATGGCTAATAAGTATTCCATTTCATTTAGACCTTTTGCCGATGTAAATAGACCATATGCAGTCGTTTTTGCTCGGATAAGCTCTATTTTTTTTTTAGAGTTACCCAACCCTAATTATCTCTTTGAGACGAGTTGGCTCCCTCTGGTATCCCCACGAGCTTCGACTCTTTGAGCCGGCTATGGGACTAATCCGGAGTGCGGAAATGAGAAATATCCATTATTGATCAGGTATGAACAATTTGATGAACTCTATTTCAATGTTTCATATATTATCTTAAATATGATTGTTTATTAGTGAATGCAAACTTGTTAACGCCATTAAATTTCTAGGACATGAGGGTTAACAATGCAGTCTCCAAAGTTTTCTAAAAAACCAAGCATCGATTTTGTTTGTAACATGTCATAAATGTTTTTTTTATATATCACAGGTCTACATGAACACGTGTCATTTGAGAAATATTTTAATGAATGTTAATAAAGAGAGTACTAAAAGTTTGAAGAAAGATGACAATATTTTTTTATTGAGTATCGTCTTGATGGAAATGAATGTATTTATTCAATTAGATCATCATGGGTGGTAAATTTAACCATAGTTAGATTGCCAGTAGGGGATAATAAATTTAATTGATGGCAAGGATAACAATTCCTTTAAAAATAATCTTACATAATTCTTATTACAATTTTTTTAAAATAAATATTAAATAAATATAGAATAAAATAAAATGCGTGTTGTGCACCTTAAACAATAGGATCATAACCAATTTGCAATTCTGAAAAATAGAATCATAACCTTCTTTCAACAATATTTTA